GAATTTTTATAGTAAATTTTACTATTATGTATTACGAATCCAAAGATCTATATAAGTATAATAAAATGAAGCTTTTATTAGCGAATTTTTTTTATAACGAATTTTTATGATGAATATAACGAATTTGTTTTAGCGAATTTTTATATTAAATTCAAGGGATATAATGAATTTTTTTAATTGCCATTAATAGAAACTATAAAATCAAACAATCGTGTGAATTTTTTTGATAATCAATTATTTTATTTGAAATGCCCAAAGAACAAAGAAAAAAAATTCTCATAAAGGTAAAGATAAAGCTTCTGATGTAAAACGAACTAGGGCCTCTCTTACAGGTGCTCAAAAACAAGAAGTTTGCCAAAAAAAGTTGCAAAAACCAGCACCTAAAAATAAAGAACTTGCTAAAGAGTTTGGCGTTTCAGAAGGAATGATATGTGATATCTTAAAAGAAAGTGAAAGATGGTTGACTCTAAAATTAGATTCTTATAAAGCTTCACTTAAAAGACAAATTAAACCAAGTTTTCCACAAATTGATGAAGCTTTGGGCTTTTGGGTCGATAAAGCCATAGATAATAATATTACTATCAGTGGCGAATTATTGGCATAAAAAGCACGTGATTTTGCGACATTACTCAATATACAGGACTTTAAAGGGTCTGATGGGTGGGTAGCAGGTTTTAAAAAATGCTATAATCTTGAATGCTACGTTAAATATGGAGAGGCAGCAAGTGCTCCTTTAGATTTGGATAATATGCGTATGGATCTTCAAAATATTCTTAAAGAATATTCATCTGATGATATCTTTAATATAGATGAAACTGGACTTTACTGGAAAATGGAGCCAAATCGTACTTTATCAACTGGTCTAGGTAATTTAAATATTGATTAATATAAAAATTAATATAAATAATTATATAAATAAAAATAATACTTATCTTATAATAGTTGTAGGTAAAAAACGATCTAAAGAGCGTGCTACTATTGCAATATGTTGTAATGCTACAGGAACTGAAAAAGCAAAAGCAATTTTTATTGAAAAAAGTCAAAATCCGCGTGCCTTAAAAAATATTCCAAAATCAACACTACCAGTGCAATATTATTGGAATAAAACAGCATATATGCAAGTTAGTATTTGGAATGATTGGCTAAAATTCTTTGATTCACGACTGAGACTTCAGAATAGACATATAATTCTACTCTATGATGGTGCATCCACTCACAAATTAAATGAAGATACTATACTTTCTAATATTCATCTTCATAAATTACCTCCTAATACAACTTCCCGCCTCCAACCATGTGATGCTGGGATTATTCATAGCTTTAAGGTAAGTAACAAAAAAATCATTATAAATAAAAATAAAAAAATAGCACTAATAATATAATAAATATAGGCATAATACCGGAAGTTATTCTTGCGAAATCGTATTAAAGCATTTGATAATAATCAAGAAACTGGTCAACCTATGCCTGAAAT